GCCCAAATATGTCCTGACCTTAACACAGTGCCTGGTACTAATCCCTCATGTATTACTTCTCTTTCTTAAAAGGGGACACACCACCGTAATTCCAGTTCATTGTGAGCTCTGGTTCATTATTTGAAGTTTTATTACAATGTGCCATAAGCATTCATGAGATGTGGCATGAAATATTCTTTGAGAGGTCAGCTTCAAAAGCACTATTGTGGTCAAGCAAGCAGAGGGATAGCTACATACTGAGTCTACAGCAGTGTCCTACTATCCCTTGCCAACTGGCTATAATGTGAGCTAGAAGCAGCTCAGAGGGCCACCTTTCCATGCCACTGTCATCCATTCAAAAAACTACTGAGTGCCTGCTCATACTCAGTCCTATACCAGGTGCTGGTCTACAAACTCCCTGCCCACAGGATGAAGGCACAGTAAATAAGAGATTGCTTTGCAATAATAAGTGTTAGCCACTTATCAAATATTTGTCTAGAAACTATCATATACCAGACGCTCTGTTAGGCACTACAGATACAACAGCAAACTAAACAAAAATATTTTAATGTGCTGTAATGTACACTGAATGCCATGGAGGCTCAGATTAAGATCTAAACAGACTAACAGGTCAGGGGTCATGGAAAGCTTTTCAGAGGGAGTGGTTCTTCAGCAGTTTGGAAAGACAAAGATAAAAGAAGTAGATAAAGAAAGCATTGTAGGCACAATACAGGAGGAATGGAGCAGAAGGATATATTTGGGAAACTGCTGGCAGGCTGAAATAACTATTGCTTTACATGAAAACTGCAGGAAGTCACTGAAAGAGTTTAAGCAAGGAGTGTCATGATTGTATTTGCATTTTATAGTGATCAGTCAACTATATCAGACAATGGACTCTGAGGAGGACAGAGAGACCAGTTAAGATAGCTGGTGTCATAATCCTGACTACAGAGCAGGAATGGACAAAATAAGGTTTAAAGTAAGCACAGTAAAGTATTTTGCAACTGATTAGATGGGAAAAAATTGAAAGAGAGGGGCCTAGGATACTTTCAGGTCTCTGGCTATAAATGCAGCTACCTGAGTCACTGGTGCTGATGAAAATTCTTCTTCATTAACCAAACATTGAAAAGCTTTTACAGTGCATTCAAGAAGCCTAATATTAGGTTACCTGCCCAGATGAACCCAACATCATTTCCCAGTTAAAGAAAGTGAGTTATTCCCAGAGACAATAAGTAATTGTTAGTTTTGCGGAGGACTTGGTGACTGAGAATGAACAGTATGTCAATATGGACACAAAGGCTAGTTAGTATCTTCATTTTGGCTACATAAATGGAAGAAGTTTAAAAATGAGAGCTTAAGTTCTAATTAAATCTTCTACTTTAGAAAGGATTAATTTGGAGGCACTAATTGAAACTATAAAGCTCCCCTTCAGTTGATTAAATATTAAACATTTAATTTTCATCAGAGTATTAAATATTTTTCTGACAGTGCTTGAAAGACAGCTTCAAATTGTAATAAATGCTTTATTGCAATTTTATTGTTATTAATATAAAATTATGTCTTTTCCCATAATAGATAACATTTTTTTACTAAGGTATCATTGATATACAATCTTACGAAGGTCTCACATGAGCAAAATTTTGGTTTCAAATTTACCCATATTATCAAGTCCCCCCCACACCCCATTGCGGTCACTGTCCATCAGCGAAGTAAGAAACCATAATGCATAACATTTTAAAGGTAATTTGTCTCATATGCATTATTATTCACTAATTAACAGTCATCATTTCTCACATGGACTCTTGCAACAGTTTGTAACTTAGTTTCTCACCACCAATCTCAGTCCTTTCCATTTCATCCTGGTCTATCGTGCTTCAAAAGAAGTCAACACAAACTGATCAAAATTGAACACAAATACAACACTGTCTTTCCCTTACTATATGTATTTTGAATGGTGACTAGTAACTATAGCATAAAGTCCAAACTCTCCAGCTTATTAGTAAGGGGTGTAATGATTTGTATCCATCACTTCTTGCCGATAGACAGCATATCACTACTCCTGTAGCCTCATCGAATTCTTATAAACTCTTGCCCCATGTAGTTGTCTCAAACTGTAATGCTCTCTCTGTAGCTCTACATTGGAAAACTATTACTAAGCTTCTAGAGATAGTTCATGTATTGTGTCCTCTGTTATGTATTCCCATTCCCACCTTCCCTGGAATAATTTCAAGTTGCTCCCTGGTCTCTGCCTCTAAAGCACCATGCTCATCCAAGCATTAGCCCTGATCAATAGTTTCAAAAGTTTGTTTATTTGTCTATAAATGGGACTATAAGCTCCTGAGGCTAGTAATTTGCTTTCTATTTGTAATTCCAGTGCCTAAAAGAGCATCTGCTTGAATTCAAGAATGGATGAATAAACATCTCTCTGGAGCTGCCCTGACTTCTAAGCAGTTGATTGGTTCGGTCCTCTGTCCTCCCTTAATACTTTTCATATATTTCCAGAATGGCACTTACTACTTTATATGTGTATCTCCCCAATATATTCTGTGAGCAGAGGCCAATCTTTCCTATTCTTATAACTTCTGGACCTAGCATATAATAGGCCCTCAATAAGTGTTTATTAAAAGAATGAAAACCTTAAAAGTATGCCTATCAAACTTGCAGGTGGCACTATATTTAATACGTTTAATGCCAGGCTCTTGATTCAAAAGGATCTGGATTTTTTTTTTGAATATTATAGAAAGGCTGGAAAGATGGACAAAAACTAGCCAGATTAAATTTAACAGAAAGAGGTATAAAGCCCCAATTCAGGTACACTTTAGGTTTTCCTTTGCGAGGCAAGAGATAACTGAATCAATAGTATAATATTACTTAAAATAAAAGAAACCCACTGCTACAAGTTAATAAAGCACAGCAGCTGGAGCAAGAGTTGAGCCCTTTCACAGTATGAGCTCTCCAGATATATCTTGGGTATTGGGTAATTTACAGGTCCATTAACAAAATAAATAAATTCCAAAGTGGGTAAATGAGCTCACAAGTGGACTGAAAACTATGAAAATGAGGAACAGTTAGAATAGGAAAGCTGAGCTTGGAAACAAAAGTAGGGAGAATAAGAGGTGTTAGGTAAAGGGATGCAGATTTCAGTTCAACCTGGTTTTGCACTTGTACATCGTCCTCATTTTACAAATAAGGAAACTGAGGCCCAGAGTTGAGTAGAATTGCCTGAGGTCAGGTCACAGAGCCAGGACTTAAACTCAGGTCCATTATACCAAGCTGCTGCAAGAGTCGGGCTTCTGTAAAAACGATTTTTAGCTTATTCTTGCTCACTGGGAACCTTAAAACGTCACCGTATTTGGAATCAGGGTCTTTGTAGATACAATCAAGTTAAGATGACATTATATTGGGTTAGGATCAGCGCTGATTAATCCAATGACTGGTATTCTTATAAGAGGGAAATATTGACACAGAGAGATGCATAGAAGGAAAATGATGTGAAAACAAGGGGAAGAGAATGCCGTATGAAGACACAGAGACACAGGGAAGGCAGCCAGGTGACAGAGACAGAGATTTGAGTGCTGTATCTATCAGCCAAAGAGCAAGGATTTGCAGGAAAGCACCAGAACCTAGAGAGACAAGGAAGGATCCTCCCCTAGAGCCTTCAGAAAGAAAATGACCTTGCCAATACTTGAATCAAGGACTTCTAGCCTCCACCACTATGAGAGAATAAATTTCTGTTTTAAGCCACCCACTTTGTAGTTCTTGTTATGGCATGCCTAGGAAACGAATACAGCTGGTGAGCAGTCACGGAAAACACAGGATGGTAATAATACTTTGGAGGTCCAAAATCAGTTCACAAATATAATCTCTTTTGATCCTCACTGAATACCTTATAAAGGAGCAGAGCAGTTTACAGGTAAGAACATGGATAATCAGAAGTACTAGAAACTTCACAGAAGGTAGCAGAAACAGAATTTAAACCTGAGTAAAGGGTCCATTCTGATCCTATTAAGCAAACAGTCCCTTCCCACTCTGAAGTTTCCTTCCCTACCACAACTTCAATTTACCTCTAGGCAACTTGCTTTCTGTGATCTTGGAAGATCACTGATCAGTGAACTCTACTACTATTACATTGTCCTCATGAATGCATTGAACAGCCTTAGCTTTTATTAGGAAAGACCTTACCCTTTGTGGGGAGGTTCAGGCACCTACGCAGGTTAAGACGACATACTGGGGGAAAATAAGTCATTTCTCTTCCTATCTTCTCAGACACAGAGCGACAACCTTGCCCACTAACTCGTTTCAATGGGCAGTTTCAGCAGAAAAATAAGTAGAGCTATGAAATGGTGAAGTTGTACACTGTCCATATAATAGAATTCCAATTGTGCACGCATAGTGACACAGAAATATTTACTAACTTTTTCGGGTTACACAGCTCCTCAGTTTTAGACTAAAAAGGAACCCTTGGTTCAATTTCCTTCTATTAAACCATTCTGACTGTTCCTCCATAAAGATTCATAGATGCTACTTTCACCTCTTACTTTTGCACTAAAATGAAACTTTCAGCGGAATGACTACCAAGTTGTGCGTATTGTTCTCTAAAACATCAGTACGCATTACTCTCTAAAGCATAGGTATTATAGGCTTTAAAATCATAGTCTTGGGGTCCAATCCCAGCTTTGCAGTGGAGCGTTGGGAATGTTACTTAAGCTCTCTTGAGCTTCGGTTAGCACAGATAAGATAACACCTGTTTTCGGTATTTCTTGCGAAACGTAAACAATAGGCAAAATACCTGGCATAGCAAATTTGCCTCAAGACTGCACGAATCAGTTTTTTGGCCTTTTGTCATTGCTCGCCGGCCTCTGCGTAACCAGAGACTAGATCCGCGAGCGAACCGCAAGCCGCGGGCCTGCTCGCCACTCGGGGGCGTGTCCTGAGGGAAGGACCCGGGCTGTCGGCTCCGCCCCATCGGGGCGCCCGACGCTCCTGACCGCCTCGCCCCTCCCTCCATGCCTCCTGCTCCCAGGTCAGCGGCCCCCTGCGTCTCTTCCTCACTAGTCCTCGGAACTGGGACTCCCGTGAGGGTTTGAGTCTGACGCGGGGTGAGGCACAGCCTGGGACAGCCCGGTCCCAGAGCGCCCTGGCTACGCGAGGCCCCAGCCGTCGCCACCGCCCGCACGCGTTGCTGCGGCCTGTGCCCCGGAGAGCCGGGGGTCATCGGTGCAGGCGTCAGTTCGTTCCTGTTCACGGTCCTCTTTACTACCATGCCGCTGTACGAGGGCTTAGGGAGCGGCGGGGAGAAAACGGCGGTCGTGATAGACCTGGGAGAGGCATTTACCAAGTAAGTGGCAGGGCGCCGGCTGCGGTCGCCCGGAGGGGAGGGCGGGCGGCCGAGGTGCGAGCCTAGCCCGGGTCCGCATCACAGGCTCGCCCACCAGGCTGCCAAGTCTTCACTCCTCCCTGGCCCCACCTCCTCCGCAAACGACTGTCATTATTTCCACTTTGGCCGGTGTGAATCCCGGCGATCCGGTGGAGCGATCAGGTTCTGACTCCGATAGAGGCCCAGGAGGCTTTGGGAAAATTGTCTACGCCGCCTTGGGTCGTCACCTCAAGCCAAGCGGACCCTTTGGAATCATTCATGCGCAGGATGACAGCGATGACCTAGACCCCGCTTACCTAAGCTTGTCTGCTAACGAAGGTCGCAACTGAACTGTAACGCTTGGTGACGTTCTCCATCATTAAAAATGTATTGAATGGAGCTTCTGTTCGTTCTGGAAATCCAAATATGTTTGAGACTAGGCCATTGCTCTCCAAGAGTAGGAAGTCATATTAGGGAGACTAAACACATAAAAAGGTGAAACCCTATGAATAAGACTACTGAGATCCTGTGTTGCACACACCCCTACCCGCCCCACAATCTCTTAGGAAATTTAATATGTTTTAAAAGACAACTTGTAAACACTTGCCTTTTGCATGGCATAAATCCCTCTGACGATCACATGAAAGCCACAAAAACGTGTCAAAATGTTTGCACACAGTTGCAAGGGTTGGAGGACCATCACAGTCGTCCTTCATTGTATTCAGGTTAAGAGCCCTTGTGCTGGACTCCAGAGAGGAAAGTGACAGCCAGAATTGCACCTTGTATGTATTTGAAATGGAAACATTTGAAAATCTTTATATATATCTGAACAGTGCCTAACATATAGTATGCATTTAATAACTTTGTTGAATAAGTGGCCAAAAGACCTATTTAAGAATTGGACCTCTGGGCTCCACAATTGGATCAAATACAGGCCTTAGTTCATGATACTTTCTTAGTGTTCTATGCAAAATCCTCCCTTATTTATATTTGATTATTTATTTTTAAAGATTTATCTTAACAGCATAATATATACCTTGAGACTTACACCCAAAGATAATTACTTTGGCTATATGTTGAGGAAATTAAAAGCAGAAAGCTACTGTACAGGAAGATGATTATTGGCGAAGACAACAGGAAGGTGGTAAGATGAATTTATGAAGTAAAAGGAATTTAAGCCAACCAGTGGTTTGCATTCTGGAGAATTTGAGAAGCACTGGTCCAAGTAAACATGGAGATATGACTAGTCAAAAGTGGAGAGAACTGTTTGGGGGTAGGAGAGCAGCATTGAAAACTATATGGGAAAAGAAGAGATAATGCTTAAACTTACATTGTGATCATTCTCTGTAAACTTTTGAGCAAAATTTTGTCTTACTAATAGGAAACATAAATGGAAATACTTGAAGACTAAAAAAAAAGTTAATCATTTTTTTAAAAGGAGTTTATAAAATGATAGCAATGAAGACAATATGGGTGGAAGCTTATTGTATGAGTTCATGATGTAGTATAAACCGTGTGATTATAACTCAAATGTGCATTGTTTAAAAAAAACTGAAAGGAAATACTTCCATACTGATGTGTTTTATGTGTAATATAATGATAAATTATAATGGAATTACGAATAACGAATTACATGAATGAATTAACATAATGCAGTACGGATCCTAGGTTATAGAGATGTGTTGCCTAAAATTCAGGTAAAATTTAAAACTGAAAAAAAAGTACTTGATGCCCTAAGATAACATACTGGTTTATTTTGGTATCACCAATTTGAGACTTTTTTTTATTGATGTTTCTTGATGAACATTATAATTCTGCTATCATAATTTCAGCTCCTCTTGCCTAATATGAACTAATATAGATTTCATGTTATATAGACACTATTCCCTTATTTAACAATTGAATATGAGCATATTTGGTTCTGTAAAAACGCATGTAGCAAAATAGACTTTAATACACAATTACCAGTTGGTATCACCAATTTGAGTATTTTTTTTTACCTTTAATATACAATTACTAACAGATGATAGTAACTTTTCCATATTTTTTTGTCCCTTTGAATGCATCAGAGATGTTTCTAAATGTTTTTGTAACCACTGCTTTGAAACATACAGAAAAACTTGTTTCTGTGAAAAAAGTATAGAAAGAATGTTATAATAAGTTAAATGTTTTGATTTTCTATTTATTTGCAGGTGTGGATTTGCTGGAGAAACTGGTCCAAGATGCATAATTCCTAGTGTGATTAAAAAAGCTGGAATGCCTAAGGTATTTTTTTAACAAATTAGGAAAATAAATACTGTATTATAAAATATTTTTAATATGACTGCAAATAAGATTGATTAGAACAGTGCTTCATATAATTTATGACTCTGTTCCAAAAAAAAACATTTAAAAATATTTAAGTTTAATTTTGCATACTATAAAATGCACCTGTTTTAGGTGTACAATTCAGTTTTTAGTAAATGTATCAAGTTGTACAAACATCATCACAGTTCAGTTTTAGAACATTTTTGTCATCCCTATAAGATCTCTAATGCCGATTTATAGTTAATTCCCATTCTTACCCGTAGCCCACCACTAGATGTTCTCTATAGACTTGCCTTTTCTGTACATTTTATGTAAATATATATATGTATACTCTGTGTGTGTGTGTATGTATACATATAATATGAGAAAGTTTTTAACTTTAATAATTTCATGACTCTTAGCATATACTTATAGAATAATTTTATTCTAACCCTGTTGGAAATGCAAGCCAGGTCTTCATTCCTTTATCTGTAATGCAAAAATCCAAAGAACTGTGAAAAACACTTGCTTAAAAAAAAGCCTCTTGCCAAAGCTAATGTGGCAGATTAGGAATTGTAGAACAATAGGAAGAATAATTTTGTGTTTCACCTGTTAAATACAGATGTTTCTGTTTTAACTTAATATTTGCATTCCTGAAAAACCTCTCTCTCTGATCACAAACAAAAAAGCAGACTTATGCAAAAAACAGGGTTGGAACAGAATACATAAAGCCCATGCAACTTTATAATCAGAGCGCTAGAGAAAATATTAGTTGATACCTCAGGAAAAAGTCAGAATAGCTTGGCTTGCAACTGAGTGTGGCTGGAGGGTCTCTTGGGGATATTAAAAATAAAATGAAATAATGGATTGAAAACGTTGGTCAGTGGGTACTAAGGCAATGCAGAGGGAAGTGAGCTTTGAGCCAGTGGGGCTGTTGTTAAGGTGGAACCAGAGGGCAGTGCAACCCATAAAAGGTCAAGAGAAGAGGGTCCACTCTGGGAAGGGAGCCCCAGGCATAGAGGATCATTTAAACTTTTAAAAAACAGATCTGAAAGGTGCCCATCTTTGCAGCCACTGAGTTGATGACTTTCTTTTTCTTGATGAACATTATAATTCTGCTATCATAATTTCAGCTCCTCTTGCCTAATATGAACTAATACAGATTTCATGTTATATAGACACTATTCCCTTATTTAACAATTGAATATGAGTATATTTGGTTCTGTAAAAGCACATGTAGCAAAATAGACTGGTACAGCAATTTATATTTGGTATTGGGATACATCATTAAGATTAGCATATCAAATATACTAATTCAGAAATATGTTAGTTATACTCAGTAGGGCATTATTTAATTGATTTCCAAATTTTCTGTAAATTCTTGGGCAAACCAGAAATAGATATCTGTGGTATGGTATTCAAAATGTGATGGTTCATTTTTTTATAATAATTTGTGTTACTGTGTTTTTTTTAGATAGATTAAAGTTTGATTGGACTTAGAACTTTAACACTGTCATTGGCACTTTTATTAGTTCTTTCAGCTTTTATCTTCATCTTAAAAAGACAAATACATTTAAAGATTAATCTACATTCAGCTGTACATGGTTTGTATCTTTAAACTACATAAAATCAAGAAATTAACTGAACTGATGGTCTTTCCTTTAAAAGTATATAAAGAGAGGTCTGCCAGTGATGCATCAGGGTATTTACAGCTTTCTGAGGATCATAAGTGAAGCCCTTGTTAGTGTTAACTTAGCACCCCCCATTTGCTAGTGTTTGCATATACTGCTTTAGTGCTAATGTATGTTTTCATTTTTATAACATGTATTTATGAGCTACATGCTTTTTGCCTGGTACTGTATCACTTCAAGGGAGATATATCGTAAACCAGCCAAAAATATTTCTTGCCCCATAGAGCTTGTAGTCTAATGGGGAAGACAGACGTTTTACAAGTAACTCAAGTCAGATGATGTTACAGAAGGAAAAGTGTCAATGTTTTGGGAGTAATGAACAGGGAGTGAACCAAGGCTGGAGTGTTTGAGGAACCCTTTAATGCATTTTAATCTATGCTGATTTTCATCAATCCTGCCAAAATGGTAAGTCAAATGAAGGGAAAATGTAAATGAGCATAGCTCTCTACTATGGGCACACTTTTATCCCCACAAACCAAAAACTTTTGTCATCATAGACATGCCATTTCTTAAAGATTCCCAATTTAAGTGATTATATTTAATGTTTGTATTTATTCTCAATGCAAATTGCTTTTGACATACTACCAGAAAATGTATTGGTAAAATAAATAAGCATGGTTTGCAAATTAATAAATCATTTAAATTTTTTATAGCCTGTCAAAGTTGTTCAATATAATATCAATACAGAAGAATTATATTCTTACCTAAAGGAGTTCATCCACATACTGTATTTCAGGTAAGATGCAATTGTAATTGTGTTTGTATTTTTTCCCAGCTCTTAAGATTACATTTTCCTAATGCCAATCATAGTGATACTTGGTTGTCTTGCATCTGATGCAAAAAAAAAAGTTGACTTTCAATGGCATTATTATTTGCTTATTTTGTGTTTTCCAAAATATATATATGAAGACTAGAAAACTGGAAAGCATAAGGAAATACTGAAAACAAATGTCCATTAATAAAGGGTTGGATAATTAAATTATTGTACATCCATATAGTGAACACTATACAGCCTTTAAAAATATTCTGTATCTATAGCAGCTGATACAGAAAGGTATCTTAGGTATATTGATAATTGAAAAAAATTACAGAACATCTATGGAATGAGTATGTCTGTTAAAATGTATAAATGTATGCATACAAATTCACAATCATGAAAATACACACACTGCTATAAGTGGTAGTTTCTGGGTAGTAGAGGTATAAGGTATTTGATTTTCCAAGGTATAAACTTCTATTATATTTGGAATTTTGTGAGCTTCTATTACTTTTTTTTAAATTAAAGTATCATTGGTAAACAGTCTTTTGAAGGTTTCACATGAACAACATTGTGGTTTCAACATTCACCCATATTATCAAGTCCTCACCTCCCCCACCATTGCAGTCACTATTACGGTAGTAGAGCATCTGTTACTTTTGTAACCTGAAAAAAGAAAATAACCTTTTGAATGTCTCAAGTCACTATTCATAGTAGGCTATAAATGAGTTCATAGAAAGTTCCTGACAGTGCATGGCATATAATGTCAGCAACATGACTGTTGCTGGGTAATAAAGTGAAGATACCTTTGTAATAAAGCATTTTAAGCCAAAAGAGTACCATTTCTATATTTGTAACAAATTATATTATGTCCCAAAACAAATAGAAACTTTTATTTACTTTTAAAAACAAAGCTATCACTTTTCAGGCATCTGTTGGTGAATCCCAGAGACCGTCGAGTTGTGGTTATTGAATCAGTATTATGTCCTTCTCACTTCAGAGAGACACTCACTCGTGTTCTTTTCAAATATTTTGAGGTACGTGTCTTTCATTTTGTTGTTGTTTGTAGGTACTCAAAGCTTAAACTAAGAGGTCCTCATCTTATTTTCTTCATTGTATAAATTATACAATGTATTTGAGGAACCAGATGACAGAATAAACTCAAGCCTCTTGAAATTGACCACTTTCTTCCTATGGTTATTTCTTGCATAATTAACATTTTATCCAATACTTAAATAATTAAAGGTGTTTTCTTATTGACATTGTTGTTACTTACTTAATTTAATGTAGGTTTTTCTGTTTGGGGACTTCTTATCTCCAGAATTAGAAGGCATATTCTGCGTGGTGGAGTATATGATATGTTTCTTCTAAATCTTTCTAGTTTCCTAGTTTCCATTGTTTATTTATGCTGATTGTTCTAAATCCTTCACTTCTTCCATTTTAGGCTTTATATTGCCACTGAATACAATATTCAACTAATGTCTCCCATAGAGTGAGTGGACAGTGCCAACAATGACCTACACCTTGATATTAGTAATATGATTTGTAGCTTTCATTTTATAGGAGTCCAGCTTATTTTAAAGACCAAAATTTAATTTTGGTCTTTGATTTAAGATGATAATATTTCATAGTAGATCAGAATCTTTATCATTTAAATTTTTAAAAATCTATGCCTTAGGAATTTAAGGTATTTTTTAGTAATAGAAACCAGAAGATTGTATAAAATGTGTCCAGTATGTAAGAAATTAAGGACATATAAATATTTTTTATATATTCTACTGAACTCAAAATATATTAAAAAATCACAGTGTTTTTGTGAGATAAGGGCAATTAATATTTTTAAGTTATAGTTTAGTAAGATAAGCATAAAGAAACAGGTTACATACCCTCCTGTATGTACTGTTTTTTTTGTTGTTGTTGTATTCTATATGTACTGTTATCATAGATTTAGGAATTTGGTTTGCAGAGAACACAAAACAAAACAAGAACCAGATCAACTTTTACCTGAATAAAATAATTGAATCTCTGTATTTACACTCCAACTTAGAGTTTAGTTGTGTTTGTGTTTGTAACCTTATCTTCTATATGACTAGAGTACCTGCTATTTTTACTTAGATAAGGGAATAGCTAATACTTTGTTTGCCATTTGGTTGTGATGGGCTTTTGTGTTTTGATTGAATATTTACCTGATATTTTGGTGCCACCAGATCTGCCAAATCTCACTGAAAAATGTCACACAGAACTAAGTATTTTTGTAGTTCCTCAATTGAATTTGAACTGCTGTATTATGTTTAAAATATATAATTTTATCTTATAAACTTTGTAAGATTGAGAATTCATTTTCTGTATTTCATTTTGGTAGTAGAGGCATCGCTTTATTTTTTCAATCTAGCATCTTTGAATTTTTGTTCCTAGACCTCTTTTTTTTTTTAATATTACTTCCACTGTATCTTTTTTTTAAGTCAAATGTACATCACAGTGCTTCAACATTTCCTCTTCCTCTCCCCACCACTCCCGGTCACTCCCCTCACCCTTGGTAACCACTAGTCACTTCTCAGTGTCTGTGAGTCTAATTTGCTGTTTTGTTCCTTCTGTTTTGCTTTGTTTTTATATTCCACAAATAAGTGAAATCATATGGTATCTGTCTTTCTCTGCCTGGCTTATTTCACTGAGCATAATACCCTATGTTTTATGTGTAATATAATGATAAATTATAATGGAATTACGAATAACGAATTACATGAATGAATTAACATAATGCAGTACGGATCCTAGGTTATAGAGATGTGTTGCCTAAAATTCAGGTAAAATTTAAAACTGAAAAAAAAGTACTTGATGCCCTAAGATAACATACTGGTTTATTTTGGTATCACCAATTTGAGACTTTTTTTTATTGATGTTTCTTGATGAACATTATAATTCTGCTATCATAATTTCAGCTCCTCTTGCCTAATATGAACTAATATAGATTTCATGTTATATAGACACTATTCCCTTATTTAACAATTGAATATGAGCATATTTGGTTCTGTAAAAACGCATGTAGCAAAATAGACTTTAATACACAATTACCAGTTGGTATCACCAATTTGAGTATTTTTTTTTACCTTTAATATACAATTACTAACAGATGATAGTAACTTTTCCATATTTTTTTGTCCCTTTGAATGCATCAGAGATGTTTCTAAATGTTTTTGTAACCACTGCTTTGAAACATACAGAAAAACTTGTTTCTGTGAAAAAAGTATAGAAAGAATGTTATAATAAGTTAAATGTTTTGATTTTCTATTTATTTGCAGGTGTGGATTTGCTGGAGAAACTGGTCCAAGATGCATAATTCCTAGTGTGATTAAAAAAGCTGGAATGCCTAAGGTATTTTTTTAACAAATTAGGAAAATAAATACTGTATTATAAAATATTTTTAATATGACTGCAAATAAGATTGATTAGAACAGTGCTTCATATAATTTATGACTCTGTTCCAAAAAAAAACATTTAAAAATATTTAAGTTTAATTTTGCATACTATAAAATGCACCTGTTTTAGGTGTACAATTCAGTTTTTAGTAAATGTATCAAGTTGTACAAACATCATCACAGTTCAGTTTTAGAACATTTTTGTCATCCCTATAAGATCTCTAATGCCGATTTATAGTTAATTCCCATTCTTACCCGTAGCCCACCACTAGATGTTCTCTATAGACTTGCCTTTTCTGTACATTTTATGTAAATATATATATGTATACTCTGTGTGTGTGTGTATGTATACATATAATATGAGAAAGTTTTTAACTTTAATAATTTCATGACTCTTAGCATATACTTATAGAATAATTTTATTCTAACCCTGTTGGAAATGCAAGCCAGGTCTTCATTCCTTTATCTGTAATGCAAAAATCCAAAGAACTGTGAAAAACACTTGCTTAAAAAAAAGCCTCTTGCCAAAGCTAATGTGGCAGATTAGGAATTGTAGAACAATAGGAAGAATAATTTTGTGTTTCACCTGTTAAATACAGATGTTTCTGTTTTAACTTAATATTTGCATTCCTGAAAAACCTCTCTCTCTGATCACAAACAAAAAAGCAGACTTATGCAAAAAACAGGGTTGGAACAGAATACATAAAGCCCATGCAACTTTATAATCAGAGCGCTAGAGAAAATATTAGTTGATACCTCAGGAAAAAGTCAGAATAGCTTGGCTTGCAACTGAGTGTGGCTGGAGGGTCTCTTGGGGATATTAAAAATAAAATGAAATAATGGATTGAAAACGTTGGTCAGTGGGTACTAAGGCAATGCAGAGGGAAGTGAGCTTTGAGCCAGTGGGGCTGTTGTTAAGGTGGAACCAGAGGGCAGTGCAACCCATAAAAGGTCAAGAGAAGAGGGTCCACTCTGGGAAGGGAGCCCCAGGCATAGAGGATCATTTAAACTTTTAAAAAACAGATCTGAAAGGTGCCCATCTTTGCAGCCACTGAGTTGATGACTTTCTTTTTCTTGATGAACATTATAATTCTGCTATCATAATTTCAGCTCCTCTTGCCTAATATGAACTAATACAGATTTCATGTTATATAGACACTATTCCCTTATTTAACAATTGAATATGAGTATATTTGGTTCTGTAAAAGCACATGTAGCAAAATAGACTGGTACAGCAATTTATATTTGGTATTGGGATACATCATTAAGATTAGCATATCAAATATACTAATTCAGAAATATGTTAGTTATACTCAGTAGGGCATTATTTAATTGATTTCCAAATTTTCTGTAAATTCTTGGGCAAACCAGAAATAGATATCTGTGGTATGGTATTCAAAATGTGATGGTTCATTTTTTTATAATAATTTGTGTTACTGTGTTTTTTTTAGATAGATTAAAGTTTGATTGGACTTAGAACTTTAACACTGTCATTGGCACTTTTATTAGTTCTTTCAGCTTTTATCTTCATCTTAAAAAGACAAATACATTTAAAGATTAATCTACATTCAGCTGTACATGGTTTGTATCTTTAAACTACATAAAATCAAGAAATTAACTGAACTGATGGTCTTTCCTTTAAAAGTATATAAAGAGAGGTCTGCCAGTGATGCATCAGGGTATTTACAGCTTTCTGAGGATCATAAGTGAAGCCCTTGTTAGTGTTAACTTAGCACCCCCCATTTGCTAGTGTTTGCATATACTGCTTTAGTGCTAATGTATGTTTTCATTTTTATAACATGTATTTATGAGCTACATGCTTTTTGCCTGGTACTGTATCACTTCAAGGGAGATATATCGTAAACCAGCCAAAAATATTTCTTGCCCCATAGAGCTTGTAGTCTAATGGGGAAGACAGACGTTTTACAAGTAACTCAAGTCAGATGATGTTACAGAAGGAAAAGTGTCAATGTTTTGGGAGTAATGAACAGGGAGTGAACCAAGGCTGGAGTGTTTGAGGAACCCTTTAATGCATTTTAATCTATGCTGATTTTCATCAATCCTGCCAAAATGGTAAGTCAAATGAAGGGAAAATGTAAATGAGCATAGCTCTCTACTATGGGCACACTTTTATCCCCACAAACCAAAAACTTTTGTCATCATAGACATGCCATTTCTTAAAGATTCCCAATTTAAGTGATTATATTTAATGTTTGTATTTATTCTCAATGCAAATTGCTTTTGACATACTACCAGAAAATGTATTGGTAAAATAAATAAGCATGGTTTGCAAATTAATAAATCATTTAAATTTTTTATAGCCTGTCAAAGTTGTTCAATATAATATCAATACAGAAGAATTATATTCTTACCTAAAGGAGTTCATCCACATACTGTATTTCAGGTAAGATGCAATTGTAATTGTGTTTGTATTTTTTCCCAGCTCTTAAGATTACATTTTCCTAATGCCAATCATAGTGATACTTGGTTGTCTTGCATCTGATGCAAAAAAAAAAGTTGACTTTCAATGGCATTATTATTTGCTTATTTTGTGTTTTCCAAAATATATATATGAAGACTAGAAAACTGGAAAGCATAAGGAAATACTGAAAACAAATGTC